AGCATGGACTTATGGATTCTTTCTTGAATAGGTTCAGTTAGAACATCCAGAACAATGTTGAACAAGTACGGACTCAAAGAGGATCCCTGATGTAGGCCAATCTGAATAGGGAAGTCTTTTGTCTCACCTCCAGGCGTCCTTACACTGGTAGTTACCCCTTCATACATATCTTGTATGGCTTTGATATAAGCAACCCGTACACCTTTTTTTCCTAAAGCCTTCCACATTACTTCTCTTGGTACACGATCGTAAGCCTTTTCCGGGTCAATAAAGACCATATGTAAATCCCTTCTTTTACTTCTATATCTTTCTATTAACCCTCTTAGTAAGTAGATTGCTTCCGAAGTGGATCTCCCTGGCATAAATCCAAATTGGTTTTCTGAAATAGAAGTCTCCAGCCTCAACATATATTCCATCACTTTTTCCCACAACTTCATTGTATGAATCATAAGTATATACATATTACCATTTTCATATTTCAACTCAATAAGAAAACAACTTACAATGTAGTAGCCACAACTCACAAGATCAATCTGAGCATAGCCATCTTGACCTGGAATTTTCATTGACAACTAAATATTTAGTTATAATTTGATCTTATATAGAGGTTATATTATCTTATAAAATTAGTTGTCAACAGACACTGTCTAAGTTGTTAACAGCTCTCCTTGGATTGTTAATACTCATTGTTGAGGTTGTCAATAGATCTCCAAATTAAAATTCTGCTATAATCCTATTGGGTTTATTTAAAGTTCTTAATATCTTTGAAAAGCTTCCCATTTTAGTATTAAAGTTGTTATATTATATTATTTGGTTATAATTTACTCTTATGTGATCATATAAAATAAGTTGTCAGCAAATACTGCTTAGCTTGTTAACAACGTTTTATTGGGTTGTTAATAATCGCCGCTGAGGTTGTCGATAGCAATGACAGAGAAAACGTGAATTGGCCGAAATCTGAAAGGTAATGATGTCATTTTACAATTAGAATATAATACTTTAAGGTCCTTTGGTACCTGCTAGTAATTTTGACATTCTATGAAACTCTAGATGAATAAAGTCTACTCTTTGAGACCTGCATGTTATTTTCCCAAGAGTACATGTCATTTGGGGGTAAGGAACGCGTGACTGTTTGGAAAGGCTGCGTTTGGCGATCCAAAAGGTAGAACTGCCCGTGATGGGATTAAATTGCCACATGTGGGCGACTTTTGACCACAGATCCAAACACGGACTCACAATTATTCCTCTAACTTTGTTTTCCTAATTTTAAACGGAAAAGATGAAAGAATCAATTTTTGGAATAATAATTTTTACCAAAGTCCACGCAATAGACAGGATGTGGATGGCGTGACAATGATTGTGATTTTATGGAGTACACAATCATCATAGTTTTGTCTTGTCTAATTTAGTACACAATTATGTAGAGATTAGAGTGATAAAATTAAGATTTAAAATTAACATACACTGTTAATTAATTTATTGGGTCCGTTTAATTATTGCCACACATAATTTTTTTTCACAAATAATAATTAACCAAAACTTCCCGATGAGAATATCTAATTATATATCTTTTTTTTCCAAGGTAATTATATATCAAATATACAACAAAGCCTTTTTTTTTTTTGCCGCCAACAAAGCTTTATTATCCATACCTGAATTATAAATAATATGATTTATTTTTTATATATTTTATTTAAGCTTTTACTTTTGCTTTATTCTTTATATAGAAAATTGTTTTGAAAAAACATTTCCAATTTTTTATTAGAAAGAATTAGCTTGATATCGTCCTAATTTTATTTGATGTCCTGAAAAAGGAAAAAAAAAAAATCAAAACATAGAATTTACTTAAACTTTGCACCTTTTTTGCAGCACATCTAAATCAATCTCACTTAAAAATTTGATATTAAACATATCAAGTTTTAGATACAAGTAGATAATTTCAATTATTAATATATTAATTATTATTTTTCCAACAGAATCTTATGTAGGTCAACTTTACTTTTCATGTAAACTAGATGTGTAGCAAGTTAGAGACGGAAGAAAAAAAGAAAAGAAAGTGATACTCCTTTCATCCTTAATTATAAGAGCCTTTTTTTTTTAATTTGCAATCTCAGAAAACCTTAGGTTAATTGATATGTAAAGCATTTTTATTTCTTTCAGCCCTTGCATTAAATTTTTAAATTTTTACAAGAAGAGAGCCATGAGATTTTAATCATTTATTAGGACACATGAAATATATTCTTTAATTATTCCTAGAAAACTTTGTAAAGAGTTATAACTAGGGACATCAATTCCCATAACATTCGTTCTTAGGCTCTCGAACTGAATAAATGTATTAGAAAATTGCGACGAAGAATTAGGTAATAAATGTGTAAAGGAAAATGAATCCAAATTTGTCGTCCTATACATATGATAAAATCACGTAGGTTCTTCTTTACCAAAATAAACTCCAGTTGGTGTTTATTAAGTCAACGTTGAACGAAAAAAAACAAAATCTATCCAATTATTTAGGTATTGGGTCAATATATTATCATCAGTGAAATGGCACATAACTGCAGATTAATAAATAAATAAATAGATCTATAACAAACTTGTTCATTCACCTCATTAAGCAAAATAATGTCAAATCATGCATTCTGTAAGTATAGAATACAGTTGTTCAAAGTTATTCATGGTAATTATGATTATTAATCATGTTGAAAATATAGTAAGAACTTGCTGGCAAAAGATCATGACTTATTTTACAAGTGTATTAACATTATTAGCACCCCAGCTTTTGTCAAAATAACTAAAATTAATATGCATATAGTTCAGTTTATGTGTCAATAGTAATAATCTTGATCTAACGACATTGACAAATATAGTTGAAGTGATATATGTTCATGTGAAACTGAATAGATAATTTAGTATAATAGTTTTACTTAGAGTACAACTTTGCAAATTGATGATACTCTTGTTCTAGATAAGGAAGTGGATAAAATAAAAAATAAAAAGAAAGTACTCTCTCCGTTTTTTTTTTTTGATATCATAGCTATTTTAAACTAATTTAGATTGATTAGAAAAGTTAGATAAATTAGCCAATTATAACAATTGTTAATCTCTCCAAAATAAGCCCGTATAATATTGATTATTTATTAAGTTAACTGGTTTGAAAAAAATAATAAATATAAAAAAAGTGAATTGTGATTTTATATTTACAACTGATTCAATCCTCCAATTATTTGTTATATTAAATAACTGAGGTAGTAATTCCCTAGAATCCATAAATTTAAATGTAAACCCACTACCATAGATTTATTTTAATGTCTTGCGTGAAAAGCGCGTAGCTTAATTACCTAGGTAGTAGGAAGTCATGCTATTTTAATCACTAGTGTCAAATTTGAGTCTTGATTATACTACCTCTCATTCTAATTATAAGACCTCCTTTATATTCTACAAGTAAAGTCTTATAATTAGGATCGGAGGTAATATGTACAACTGTATTTTTTTTTAATTTTTTTAAATATGGTACAACTGTATTTGTAGATAGAGCTTGGATGCCTTTTTGGTCCCAGGCTCAATCGGCTTGATTATTCAACTGTATTAAAAGTGGATGCACCTAGCTAGTGTTATATATGGTCGCAAAGTTAATGAAAATCTCACAACCACAGGAGTTTACACCTTTCTTGTTAAAAAAGTTGTAGAAATTAATTATGTGGGGTCCGAGGTAAGTCCGTGGCACATTGTCATGGGTTCTATGTTATTATTATTTTATTTGATTAAATAAATTTCGCTAATTATTATTCACCTTGCCGAATACTCACCACTAATGCCATAAATATCGTATATTTTAGTTTTTCAATTGCTGTCCCCTCTAAAATTTTCTCACAAATAAACACTATTTATGATTTTTAATATAAGAGTTAGATAAATAATTTATCAAAATTTTAAAAAAATTAATTAAATTAGTTATTTATAATAAATAAGTATCGTATTTTTTAAAATATCTTTATTAATCATGTGTATTGAAATCAACTCTTGATAAAAGCTCTTTAATATATACAATCACTATAAGAATTACCTAGAGAGTTCAGAGTAAAATGGTTAAGTATCGGAAAACAAGATAAACTGTGTTTTATATTTATAATCAAATTGAGTTTTTCAACCAGCTCTTAAGAATCATGAAGGTTTTATTAACTATTTCATAGTTATGAGAATTAAACTCATGAATACATGAGACTCTTGTATGAATCAAATAAACTTTAGATCTGATTCATGAATGCATGAGACTCTTACACGAAGCAAATAAACTTCAAAACCTGTTAGGTTAGAGGAGATTAAAAATGAGCCCCTCTTTTTGTTTGATTAGAAATTTTGACGGAGAGGAGAACCAAAATCTTTCCTTCCCTCCTTCATTCTTATCTTAGCTCCCCTGAATTGGGATTTTTTTTTTTCTCAAAAGGAGCTAAAATTCTTCACTATTTTGTCCTTATATTTTTGGTGATATTCCATTGATGGCATAAAATATATTATTCCAATTTCTGTATAGGCAATGGCTTTGCTGCCCACAAATCTGCATAATTTGTCGACCCCAATTAAGCTTTCATTCATTTGAGGCCAGTGACTCAACCATCAACAAAGGGATATATGAAAAAAGGAAAACGAAAGGATATTGTCATCAGACAGGTTGAATCTGTTAGATTTCAAATAAGCACATGGAATCACACAAGCGAACTCAATAAACTGTAGATTTCATTGCAACTGAATACAAATTCGGAGTAGGAATGTGGTTTCCTTATCACATTCATCCAATTCTGAAATCGAGCAATAAACGAAAATCAATCAAGAAAAAGAAGACATGATACAATTCTAGATAGGCTTTCATCATAAGTATATACATATTACCGTTTTCACATTTCAACTCAGTAAGAAAACAACCAACTTACGTGCAGTAAACATAACTCACAGGATTAACCTTAAACATAACACAGGATCAACCTGAACATGGCCATCTTGACCCGCCTTCATATATTGGATCAAGTATGGGCTGGTATGAGCAAGCTCAGGTGTCTGAAAAGTTTCCCTTTCTTTATCCCAAATTGAATACCTGCCAAGTTATAAAAATAATGAACAGATCATGGTTCCTTCAATTTCAAATTAAATATTAATAAAACTTTCAAATTTGAATTGAAACCATGAAATTATGATAAGTGAGTAAGAAAAGGATTGAAATTAACTAAAGTAGCAGAGGAAGTGTCAAATTTGGAGTAGGCTGGAGCACTCTTTAGTTGTTCAACAATTTTCGTAAAAACAGAGCAAATACAAATAATCATCAAGTAACCCATTACCTTTTTCAATGTTTTCAAAGTTTTATAATCCACGTAGCTGGACAAAACTAGTTTGAAATTTGAAGAGTGCACAAGCTAGTTGGTTGGCGAACATTATAGTAATTAATCATCCAGTTAAGTAGCAGCGATGTACCTTGTTCTAAAGATTCATTGAGCAGAGCTTGCTCTGCGAAGCCTTCTCTTTTCGAAAATATGATCAGCTGCAATCAAACGTTAATTACTACGAGGAATGGAGTTTAAAGACTAGGAAGCATTCTAGTAATGAATTCTTATATAAAGATCTAAATAATAAGATCTAGTTTATAGTGCATTGTAATTTTTTTTAAAAAAATAAAGTAGTTATAGAAATTATACAAGTTTTTTTTTTTTTAATAAATGGCATAATAGTTACTTGCGAGTATACCTTTACATGTATGCGATGACGAGTTTGATTTGATGTCAACCGACCCATAAATTTGGGATGTGAGCAATTTTTGGCCACTCTGCTCCTGTTTCTCTTTCGCACCTTTCCTGTAGAAGTGGAGATGCAAGCAGATCTAGCTTTTGTAAATTAGCCAGGCGATGCATTTCTTCAGGAAATGACTCCAAGTTTGGACAAGCCACAATGTGGATATGTCGGAGTGAGTGGAGATCACAAATCCACTCAGGTAAAGTCATGAGGCGATTGCAGAAAGTAAAACCGATTAGTTGGAGAGAATGTAGGCAACGAAGGTCTTGACACCCCACATCAACATCCTGTGAATCAAGTTCGCGAATCCACAATTCTTTTAGTGTTGCAGGTAAACTTCGCATATGATGGAATGGTTTCTTTAGACTCGAAAAACGCTCAATAGTAAGATATTCAAGAAAGGAGAGATTTTGCATCCATCCCTCTGGTAATGCTTCCATGCACATCCTATCAATGCAAAGAGACTTAAGCATGGATAGAGATTCAGCAAACTGTGTTTTCACATTTAATGTGTCCAGCAATGGCTTTGCGCCACAATATCTTAATCCCAACCACCTCACGAGATTTGGAAAAGGAGGCATGTAGTTTAGGTTTGGGCAACCCTGAATTTGTAAGGATGAAAGACGTGAAAATGGAGGTAATGAATGATGCCACTCAACATCTCTTGTATTTTGGATATCTCCCTCCCTTACCCATCCCCTCAAACTTCCACACCTCAGAATGTTTAATTCCTCCAAAGATGGGAAGAAGTTAGTTGATGAGGAACATTCTTTATAATATATGCACTCCAATTTATCCATCCCCATTATGTGAAGAGTCTTGAGAGAAACAAGCCCTTCCAACGCTGCCAAATACTGACAATTGTAGATGTCACTGAACCTCAATTCAACAAGATTTGCACATGACAAAAGCCAATCGGAAAAGCATATCCCTGGATACTCTGCTATTGTCAATGCCTTCAAATTTCGATGAGGGTGAAGATTTTCCAACAACTGCGTGGCATCACGATCTTTCATCTTTGAATATTGTCCCCACCTCAGGGTCAAGGAAATGAGGTTTTTCTTTGTTCTCAAATTAACACCCTTGGACTCCTCCTCTACATTCCTCACTAAACCAAGTTTCTCAATTGTTAATCTACCTCTGAGATTAAGTTCTTTTAAGTCATTCAATTTGGCCTTCTTTCTCTTCTCATCATCATCACCCACTATGAAATGTGACAAATTTTGCAGAGTCGTCATTCTGCCCAACCCAATGGGCATCCCATCTTCAAAGGCCTCGCAACGTTCTATATCAAATCGACGCAAGTTTATTAACTTTGTGATAATATCCCCAGAAAATTTAAGATTATCACACCACTTCAATCTCAATGTCTGCAGATTGACCAAGTTGCTTATACTTTCAGGCAAACAAGTCAATTGAGAACAATGAGAGAGATTAAGATACCTCAGATGGCTCATTTTACCTATTGATTCAAGCAAATCACTCTTGTGATGGTGTGACAAATCTAGACTACGCAAGCGCGTGAACACAAAAGAATCGGATGAAGTCTTTTCATATTCTCTCTTTGTTTTGAGAGCGGTTCTCGATCTACCGAAACCCTGCAAATCTTGTGAACTATCAAAGTTATATTCTTTAGGAGAAGCATGTATAGTACACCTCACGACATTTTGTCTCCCCTCAACATATAGACAATCATCAGAGCTAATAATTGATCGGGACAAGTCATGCATCAAATCATGCATTTTAAAAGATTTGATTTCACCTAATTCATCCATCTTGACATCTTGCAAGAAAGACTTCTTCAACAAAATATGGACATAGTCTTCGCCAACATCTTCTGGACATCGTTTCTCAACTTCACTTTCAAGGAAGCCTTGTGCCATCCACAAATCAATCAATGTATCCTTCTTATATTTCCAATCTTTTGGATATGAAGAACAATAAGCAAAACACTGTTTTAATTCAACTGCCAAACTGTCATAACTTAACTTCAATATTGGCATAAGTGAATTATTGTCTTCACATAACTTCCAAAAGTCACCTTCCAAAATAGCTTCCCAATCACTTTCCTGCGCTTTTGAGCGCAACAAACTCCCCATTACTCTTATTAACAGCGGAACACCCTTACATTTTTCTGCAATTTTTTGGCCAATAGACTCCATATTTTCGGTCATTATTTTATCTTCCTCAAATGCCAATCTTTTCAACAGAGTCCAAGATTGGTCATTTGTCAGTCCTTCCAAAAGATATGGCGTTTTTACACCCATTTTACTGGCTACCGCCTGATTGCGTGTAGTCAACAAAATCTTACTACCCTTAGCACCACGCGCCAAAAACTTCCTTAACTCTTCCCACTTTACGGGAAAATCATCCCAAATATCATCTAAAACTAGCACAAATTTTTGGCCAGCTAAATTTTGTTGAAGCTCATTTTGAAGTAGTTCTAATGATTGATCGTCTTGTTTTTTGCCAAGTAATGATTCGAGTATCTGCTTAACAAGCGCATTTACATTGGAGTCTTCAGAAACACACACCCACATTCGCTTGTCGAAAGAACACTCCACGTCAGTATCATTGTACACCAATTGCGCAAGGGCAGTTTTACCCAAACCCCCAATGCCGACAATAGCAACCAAGGAAACATTTTGATGGCTATTATCATCATTCAACAACAAATCAATTATGTCCTTCTTGTTTCCCTCCCTACCAACCATCTCCTCTTGGAGCACAAAAGAACTAGTTTCCCTCCAGTTCCTCCTTTCATGCTTCGTTTCAACATCTCTTCGATCTAAATTCAACTTAGACATAGTTTCAACAACACCATTAAATTTCCCTCTGATTTTTCTAATCTTCCTTGCAATTTTGCGGCGAAAAGCAATTGGGTTGGAGGACGAGAAGAAGTCACGTACCTTTCCCTTTCCATCCCTCTCGCGCAGCAAATGTTGAGTGTGGATCTCATCAAGCAAGTCATCTGCTTCGTAAAGGACTTGTCTTAGCTTCGTTATCCAGCGCTGGATGAGTTGCGCAGTGTGCTGCTTTTGGTCAGCATCAGCAAGCACGGCTTTGATGTCTTTAACAGTTTCCTTCAGCCATTCAATCTCAGTCTCAACCCCATAAATGGAAGCAACCTCCCTGAAGGCTGCTGAAGCCAAAGTGTTGATGAGACTTGTAGCCACGCCATATGGGACTTGCTCGGCCATCCTTCCAAGACACAAAGGGAGACGTTGGGGGAGTTTGGTGATTAGATCTAGCAAAGATGAAACTGGAAAGACTATGTTCTGACAGTTCGTGGCCTATATAGAAGAAATATGCCCATAGTTTTGCATGCTAAGCCACGTGAGGTGACAACCAAGCAAGTAATTAATCAAAAAGAAAGTTTAACAGCCTGGAATCCACGTCCCAATTAACTTAATCATATCAAAAGATGCTTTCAATGGGCCATTAAACCCACACCATCAACTACTACTTAGTTTATATTATCAGGGTGGCTTCTGTGTTGGTCTATGTGTTTTAATTTTCTAGTTTGTATAAAAGAATTGTCGTTTGTATTAATTAAGAATTGACGTCACATGTTATGCCTCTTTTAAAGAGCCTAACGTCAAGATATGCCGTTGCTTCCTCGAAAGACTGTGCAGCGTCCTGTCCTCACTGTGTCCGTGAAGCCTACTTGGGGAGGACAAAAACAGTAACAATGAAATTAATTAGTGGCTGAAGGTACCCGTAAATAAATATTGGAGGTAAATTAATCAACTTTCTCCTGCTGTAATTATCTTATTTTGACGTTGCTTCGTTTATTTTGTTGGGGTCAGTTTAAGGCCCAACACCAACATGCTAAAAGCAAATTCCTTCATCCCATAAGAAAAGGGTGGGTAAAATTATGATACGCGCCATCATATAATGACCTAGACAAGCAAGCCAATCGGTATAAAGTTATATCAGCTCTTGAGAAACTGCTACTCTGATACTTGATGAGGCATGAACCAATACAAAGAATTTAGGGGGAAAAAAAAGCATGTCCGGCAACTTGCAAGGCAGGAAAGAAAAAACTTAAAAAGGCTTAAAAGAATTTTCCTTCTCAATTATTACGATCATGTAACCATCAAAGATTATCCAAGTTAATTACATTATCATTATGGCAGCAAATATTGGAAAATTCTCCATCAGACTTTTCCAGAGCCCCATCCAGCGACTCTGAGAGACTGGCCTCCCACAAACCTAACCTACAAACTGTCCTGTAAGTGTCATAACTGGCTACCCTGAGGCCATTTGATACTAATTCCCTCAACAATCCACTAATTTGTTCACTACTCATTGCATTAATAAAAGCTTTTGACAACCCAGGTTCCCAGAAAACAACAATGGCACAGTCTTTATCCACCAGTTTGACGTCAAACTCTCTAGAAAAGATGCCATGAGATTCCCGAAGTAGATTCTTCAACATGCTTGCCGTGATCCTGAACTGAACTCCCCATAAGAAAACTAATTGTTCACTGTTAACCTTTCTTGTATTATTTGCCCAGATGCTAATGCTCTCATCAGCCAACTCTCCGGAATCAGCTGTCCATGGATGGAATACATTGGTGAAGTCTTGAAGCTCAGCGGCCAAATGCTTATTGCCAGATTCAGTAACACATGGGGAAATTTTCAATATAGAGCAGATCTTCATAAATAAATAGCATATCCTTAATGCATCAAGTCCATCATTCTTGCCTTCATTTATAGTAGCTGAATATGATTAAATTGCCAGCTTGAGATTAACATAAAAATAAATAAAAATTCGTCATTTACCCAAAAAGGAAATGAAATAAAAAGGGACGAATTCACCATGGCTCTTAAATTTTGGGAAGTGATGCATGCAAGGATTGATGACATAAACATGGTAAGTGGGTTGAGGATGGGTGCGAATATCAGGACGAAGGCTTACCTTGGTCAGGAATTTCCACATCAACAGATGCAAAAAAACGATTCTTCAAGTACAATAAAGCAGCAGATATGCTGGTCATATGTCTCACGGCCTCAAATTTCTTCATCATATGATTCACATCAATTACATGGGAGAAAACTGAACGGAAAGAGTTTATAAACTCATTCACTTCAGGAGGAAGGGAAGCAATGAATTTTGAATGAATAAACGCACAATCTGCAAAGAACAACAATAAATAAAAAGTTAATAGAGGGAAGTAGACCAGGCCAACAACATAAGAGAACTAAATTAGGAATTTTCCATCAAGGATATACACCATCAAGGCAATTGTGGAAGAGAACAGGTTTCTGTGAAGCAGAAATCAACTCGATCACCTCTCAAAACCCACGAAGTTTCTTGTTCTCCTCCTCTTCTAATTTTTGACGCTCCCTCTGCCGAGTAAAGTCATTATTATTTCAAGAGAAGGAGAAATGTTTCCAGTAACTAGACGAGATTAAAAACTTATCATCACCTCAAACAAATCCTTATCCTCTTTCGACTTGATCAAAACAAGACAGATAGCCAGAGCAGTATTACCCTTTCCAGGCACTAGCAAAGGAACAACGTTGGGAAAGTTTACTAGCATCTACAGCCACGACAAAATCCAACAAACACCACCCCAAAGTAAGTATGAAAAATAATTTGATCGGTTATATGAAGTGGGGGTGATCAAGCTAGCATATCGCTTAAAAGTCAAGACATTGTTACTTCATTCTACCTCCAGAATCAGCTGCACTTGTCTATCACTGCAAACATCTACTGTGAGACAATGTCTTGAGCCGAACATTTCACTTCCCATCACAATTTTCCTAAGGGAGGCGGGGAGAGCATCTGCATGGTTAAAGAATAAAGGAAAGTTCGAAGAACAACCCAAATCCAAAAGAATCTGCCGAAGATATTCTTACCATCTTTGCTTGTGCTTTTGCCACACTTTTCACAACTTTTTATCCAATATTTGATCCGTGATTTAATCCTTTCAACAAAAACAGTATCAGCAGTAGTAGAGGTTGAAGAAGAGTTATTCACATTAGAACAAGGTATGTAATTCCCTATCTGCATTTTAGCTTTAGACTCTTGTACTCTAGATAGATATGATACACCTGCCACACAGGGTTAAGAAAGCACATCAGGGTCTCAAAATAAGTAGCAGAGTTGTAGACTGTCTTTTAAAATAGCATGGCATTTGCTATCCATATCCACATATTTAAGGAGGGCCACGCATATTGCTGGAATGAGGATGAAAACAATATCTGTCCGGGGGCACAAGCAAGTCCTCAAATCCACAAACAGTATTAGAGGAAATCAAGCAGTAATTGATTGATATATAGATGACACAAATTGTTTATGCTTTCACTCTTTTAATTTTAGGTATACATTCGAATTGTATTAAAGAAAAAATGGCTAGTGAGCCTAATCATGCCTCATGCCAACTAAGGCAGAAGAAAGTTTTCAATTTGGTTGTTAGTCTCACTGATTCTGAAGGAAGAAAGGGAGATTAATGTAGATTTCATTCTCTATCTCCTTCCACAGTATCATCCTAGAAATGAAAAAGGAAGAGATCCTTCTATGCTCAGCATATGAGAAAGAAAGTGTAAAAGAAAGACTAGCACAGTGGAAGATGAACAATAGCAGCAGGCTTTGTCCAAGCAAACAAATAACACTTACGCAGCAGGACAACGTGAACTTGCATAGCAAGTTAGCAGAACTTGACCATACAATAGATCATGTGTGGTACAGGTTTCAAAGGAAATTTAAAAAATAAATAAAAATGAAAACGTTGAGTACTGCAGTTACCTTGCTTAGACCAAGACATCAAAATAAACAGATGAAAACTCTAATATCAACGGAGCCTGAGCAGTTGATTATCTTTAGTCATAATTTTATTCAACCACAAAGGGAAGCGAAAAACTCCAAAACCGCAGTAACACGGCTGATTGTATTATAGAACATTACCAGCAATAGCCTCAGCAAGTCCCAAAACCACTTAGCCATTGCGCTCTTACGATTTCCCTTAATACGAATAGCTTTTTACAGACCAAAAGAAGTTTTAACGAAAAAAATCAGGACATTAAGAAACTTTACCATCGTATATGCAAGCATTGAAATCAAAACCTTCACGAGCCATGGACGTCAGATGTGATGTTTGGCATGAAAAATTATAAGAAGGCATCCCCGTTCTCAGTTCATCTCTGGGAAACAAAAGAAAATTGTACCTGCACCATATCCGTTAGGTCACTTTTTCGCCCCCCCTTTCCACTCTACAAGCATCACTCGGAAACGAAACTCTATTGTCACCCTTGATAGATAAGTGCATTTTGAATTTTGTCCACTACAAATAATTTCTTTCAATTTAACCTCATTGGTTGAAAGATAACAAATTAATTCAAAAGATAACAAATTGCTTATTTGGAAACTTAAGGCCCTGTCACTCTCATTGTTTAACTCAATTACTCCTAGCCATGAAATATGTTAAGGGAAGCATTACAACAATGGAGGGATCAAAAATCAAATCAAAAGATATCATTCCCAATGAGAATTTGAAAATGTTCCATTCGTCAGGACAATGATAAAAATTTCCTGTGCAACTTGCAAAAGAGAAGGTGATACTTGGTACCCACGGGTTAGCGATGAACTTATTGGAGTCGGCAATTGAAAATGGACAGACAGCAAACTGAAGTAGCTGAAACCGCTCCGCGGAGTGCCTGGCCTTGCAATAGGCGATTTCCACCGTGTCAAAGGGAAGCACACGGTGCCACGAAGCCGAGAAAGAGCCTGTCTTCTCTATGGATACTGCTACGAAGTCAGAGTTTGAAACATGGGTCTCTAACTCCTTCAAGGATTCCTGGAAGTTGGACTTCGTTACCTGCTTCACCTTCCATTTCTTGTGCACCTTGGTGCAGAGAAATCGCCTCTGCAACAACAGAGACATGAATGCCGGAACCATTGCCGGATTGAAGGTCCATGGATCATATACCCCTGGGAAATCGGGTCGGGTCCTTGGATGCTGCAACCTTTTTCCCCCTTTTTTTTATGTGGAGAATTTTGTGAATTCAATGTTTTAATTTAATCCAGAAAATTTTTTTTATGTTGATTACAATGAATTCTTTTAATTTTAAATTTCTGGAAATAAAATGATAATAATCAATTTTTTACTTATAAATTTATTATATAAAGATAATGCTTATTTTAACGTATTGCGTTTACTCCCCAGCAAGCCAAGCAATACATACATATATGCATTGATTTTTTATAGAACGTCTTAAGAATTTATTTGACTTTTATTTTGGTTTTAAATATAAAATCTGAATTCATTTTTCTTTAATATTTATGCATTTTTTTCAAAGTAATGCTTATAATAATAGTAGTTCTAACA